CATTGGAAGCCGAGGGCTGGGTGGATCCACTTGAAGGGTCTGGGAGTTCGAAGTCCAGCCTGCCTAACATGGTGCTCTGTGCCCCAGGCTGGAGTGCAGTGGCCTGATCGGCTCACTGCAAGCTCTGCCTCCCGGGTTCACGCCATTGTCCTGCCTCAGTCTCCTGAGTAGCTGGGACTACAGGCGCCCGCCACCACGCCCGGCTAGTTTTTTTTTGTATCTTTTAGAGACGGAGTTCCACTGTGTTAGCCAGGATGGTCTTGATCTCCTGACCTCGTGATCCGCCCACCTCGGCCTCCCAAAGTGCTGGGATTACAGGCTTGAGCCACCGCGCCCAGCCTAGGATGGTAAATTCTAGGTGTTTTTTTTTTTTGAGACAGAGTCTCGCTTTGTCACCCAGGCTGGAGTGCAGTGGCGTGATCTTGGCTCACTACAACCTCCACCTCCCGGGGTCAAGCAATTCTCCTACCTCAGCCTCCTGAGTAGCTGGGACTACAGGCACACACCACCACACCCGGCTAATTTTTGTAATTTTAGTAGAGACAGGTTTTCACCATATTGTCCAGGCTGATCTCGAACTCCTGGCCTCAGGTGATCTGTCCACCTTGGCCTCCCAATCCTGGGATTATCACAGCATGAGCCACAGCACCCGGCCTAGGTGTTACGCTGAAAGGAGTGAAAGTTGCAACATGAAAATGATACTAGCAGTTAATATTTCAGAGTTTCCAGTCCCAACATTAAAAAACAAAAAACCTGTAGAAGTGGAAGGGAAGGCCCCCAGAGTTGAGGGGTGCCGTGAGGCCTGGGTTCAGAGGGTGTCTCTGTGGACGCTGAACCCTCCCGGGAGGAGGCTGGATGGTGGAGGGGATGTCTGTGGACCAGGGGCCCAGTGCTTGGGAAGCGCTGCAAGGATGCCAGGGGGACAAGAGGGGCAGGGCACAGTGGAATAGGCAGCAGAAGATTCAGGGTGAGACCAGACAGAGGGGAGGGGGTCTTAGTGGTGGCAACAGAACTTGAACAGCCGCAAACATGAGTCCCAAGCATGAGGCTCTCAAGGCTGGAGGGCAGACCCAGCCGACACCCAGAAGGAAACCACAGGCACAGTCTCCCTGAGGACTTGGAGGGAGAGGTTGGGGTGCATATGTCAAGGGAAGGGAAGGGAGGGAAGATATGGGTGGGCGAGGGCTCAGCGGTGGAGGGAGCCAGGTTGGGGGTGAGCGGAGAGCTCAAGAGTGAAGGAAGCCAACAGAGGGTATCAAGGTTGGGGGGTGCCGGTTTCAGGAGGTGATGTGGTGGACAACAGGGAGGACAGGTCGGGGGGTTGCCTCAGGGTGCCGGCTGAGTCCCAGGCCCTTCCTGATGGGTTTGCATGGAGCTGCTCTGCTGCTCTGGTCCCTCTAAGGAGGGCCTCAGCCTAGGGCACAGCAGAGAAGGTGGGATGGAGACTGCCACCACCCGGATGCCACCCTGACTCACTGTTGGTCTCCCTACAGGTCAGCAGCAGACTAAAGCCACAACTCCAGCCAGGTGAGTGCTGGGCCTCCCTAAGGGGGTGGGGGGTGCAGGTGCGAGCAGGGGGCCACTCCACAGGGAGTGTGCTGCTAAGAACCCCACAAGCCCAGCCTGCCACAAATTCTCCTGAGTTTTTGCCACCACCCACTTAAATCTGATCTCTGAAGCAATTGCCTTGCTTGCCTCGCTGTAATAATCCTGGCCCTGCATCTAAAAACACTTCCCCTCCTGCAGATAGCAGGGCGCCAGGCAGTGACTTCCGACCAACAGGGTGTGGAGAGACGGGATGTGTATTAGCCCCAGAGGATGTGCTGTGAGACCCGCTTGTGAGTACTCCACACTGGCTCCCCATTGGCAAGATACATGGAGAGCATCCTGAGGACCTAAAAAAGGCAGAGCCGCAAGGCAGAAGGAGCCTGGGTCCCTGAATCACCAACTGGAGGAGAGATACCTACCAGAGCCTTCATCCAGGAGCATCCACTCTGCAGTGACACAGGAATGAGGTCTGAACTCTACTGAATTAAATCACTGGCATTCGGGGGCTGTTCATTATAGCAGTGCTAAGAGTTCCTTTGTCTTCCCCAAGGATGGAAAACTACAATTTATTTTGCTTACCATACACCCCTTTTCTCCTCGTCCACATTTTCCAATCTGTACAGTGGCTGTCCTCTCCTATGGCAGGGGTTTTGGGGAATAAACAGTGTGAAACGCTGCTGACACTTCCCTGTGCATTTCCCACGTGGCTGCCAAGTGCCCCTTCCTGCTCTGCAGTATCTGTGTCCAGTCGTGATGCAGGGAGTATCCCCGCTAGTAACAGATGGCGCTCACAGATTTAAGGCAGTTGGAAGCAAGTTTAGGAAGGGAAATCTTTTTTTTTTTTTTTTTTTTTTTTTGAGACAGAGCCTCACTCTGTCATTACCCAGGCTGGAGTGCAGTGGCGCAATCTCAGCTCCCACTGCAACCTCTGCCTCCTGGGTTCAAGCCATTCTCGTGCCTCAGCTTCCCAAGTAGTTGGGATTACAGGCGTGCACGCCCACACTCAGCTAATGTTTGTATTTTTTAGTGGTACTGGGGTTTCGCCAAGTTGTCTAGGCTGGTCTCAAACTCCTGGGCTCAAGCAATCCTCCAGCTTCAGTTTCCCAAATAGCTGCAATTACAGGCGTGAGCCACCGTGCCTGGCTGAAAGGTAATCGTTAAGGAGTGGGCAGGGCAGGAACACTGTCAGAGATGGTGTGGTGGCCAAGGCTAGTACAGCAAATCAGCTGCTTCCTGTGATTGCACGGGTTGGGGGCTCAGTTCCACAAGGCTGCCCCCGCATCAGATGCCAGTCAAAAGCTCACGTGGTGCCTGTGCTTCTGACACAGGGCTATAAAAATTGAGGTTCCCGTGATCCCCTCCTTGGGTTCAGTTAATTTTCTAGAATGGCACCTAGAACTCAGGGAAACCCTTTACTCACATGTGCCCCCTTATAAAGGATATTATAGGGCCTGGCGCCAGGGCTCATGCCTGTGATCTCTGCACTTCGAGAGGCTGAGCGGGGAGGTTTACTTGAGCACAGGAGTTTGAGACCAACCTGGGCAACATAGCAAGACCGTGTCTCAAAATAAAAACATAGGATATTACAAAGGGTAGTGATGAACAGCCAGATACGAGAGATACACAGAGAGAGGCCTGGGGGAAGGCGTGCAGAGCTTCCATGTCTTCCCCAGGTGCTGCACCCTCTAGGAAGCTCCATGAGTTCAGTTATCCAGAAGCCCTCTGCATCCCTTTTGGGTTTTTATGGACTTCATTATAGAGGCATGAATGGGCCAGGCACAGTGGCTCCTGCCTGTAACCCCAGCACATTTTGAGGCCGAGGTGGGAGAATCAATTGAGCCCTCAAGCGGCAATTGAGGCCGCAGTGAGTTGTGATTGCACCACTGGACTCCAGCCTGGGTGACAGAGAGAGACGCTGTCTCAAAAAAAGACAAAACGAAACAAAACAAAACAAAAAACCTGGCCAATATGGTGAAACTCCATCTCTACTGAAAATGATCGTCGCCTAATCCCCACCCCTTGAAGATGCCTTCACGCCCTCCATACACATTTGGTCAGCACTGACTGACCGGCACACTGCACTGGGTGACAAGGACCCAAAGCGACACCAGCCAGTGCCCCAGCCCTCAAGCACCTCCCTGTGCAGAAGGAAGACAGCACAGAAAAGGGAAGCGTGGTTGTCACAGAGGCCCAGAGGACTGCCGGCTGATGTCACTGAATGGGGAAGTGGTCGGCCGCACGGGCCCTCGGCTCAGTCCTGATGCCACAGTGGATGTTCATGGGCCATGTGACCTCAGGCCAGGCTGAGAACCCCCCTCAGGGCCTCCGTTTCTTTCTGTATGAATTGAGGACCATAACAGAGATGCTGCCTGCCTCCTGGGATTGTCCAGAGAGTTAAAAGCTCTTTTAAAATGCACCTGCTGGGTTGGGCGCGGTGTCTCACACCTGTAATCCCAGCACTTTGGGAGGCTGAGGCAGGCAGATCATGAGGTCAAGAGGTTGAGACCAGCCTGAACAACATAGTGAAACCCCACCTCTACTAAAAATACAAAAAGTAGCCGGGCATGGTGGCACGTGCCTGTAATCCCAGCTACTCAGGAGGCTGAGGCAGGAGAATCGCTTGAACTTGGGAGGTGGAGTTTGCAGTGAGCCAAGATTGAACCATTGCACTCCAGCCTGGGTGACAGAGTGAGACTCTTTCAAAAAAATAAAAATAAATAAAATGCACCTGCTGGCGGGGCGTGGTGGCTCACACGTGTAACCTCAGCACTTTGGGAGGCCTAGGAAGGTGTATCACCTCAGGTAAAGAGTTCGAGACCAGCCTGGCCAACATGGCAAAACCCCATCTCTGCTAAAACTACAAAAATTAGTTGGGCATAGTGTTGGGCACCTGTAGTTCCAGCTACTCGGGAGGCTGAGGCAGGAGAATCGCTTGAACCCGGGAGGCAGAGGTTGCAGTGAGCCGAGATGGTGCCACTGCATTGCAGCCTGGGTGACAGAGTGAGACTCTGTCTCAAAAGAATAATAATAATAATGATAATAATAAATAAAATAATAAAACAAAATGCACCTGCCATTCTTTCCATCAGGTATGTCCACGGAAATGAGGGTCATGAGGGAAGCAGTGTATCCTCACAGATCCCCAGAAATGAGAGACACAGCCATGCAGGGCCACTTGGGAAAGCACCAGAGTCCCTCGGGGGGCAGAGGAAGCCAGGGGGAAATGGGGGTGAGACCTTTTGTTATGCTTTCCATGGAAAAGGCAAGGAAGGGTATGCAGGTTTAGGATTGGCTAGTTAGAATAATGTTAGCAGGCTCTGGGGATTAGGGGCTGTCACTTGTTATTTGGTGCCTGGCCCAGGGTGATGAAGGCAGAGAAATACTGCCTCCTGAAAGGGGAGAGGCAGCTAGAAGAGCTGGTTCAGTGTTGGGGCCCTGGATTAGTTGGTTTGCATATGAAAGGCACACTCATCCAGGCGCTGCAGCTCAAGCCTGTAATCCCAGCAGTTTGGGAGGCCGAGGTGGGCAGATCACAAGGTCAGGGACCATCTGGGCCAACATGGTGAATCCCCATCTCTATTAAAAATACAAAAATTAGTTGGGCATGGTGGTGTGCACTTGTAATCCCAGCAACTTGGGAGGCTGAGGCAGGAGAATCGCTTGAACCTGGGAGGTGGAGGTTGCAGTGAGCTGAGGCTGTGCCACTGCACTCCGGCCTGGCAACAGAGCGAGACTCCATTTCGGAAAAAAAAAAGAAAGGGACACTCTCAGAGGGGTCATTTGCTAGCTTTAACAACTGGTTGGCTCTGGCAGGGGCAGTCCCTCTTTCTGGTCTTGGAGGTCCAAGATGCCAGAATATCAGCAATAAGTGGGGCTGGGTGAGGTGGCTCACACCTGTCATCCCAGCACTGAGGGAGGCCAAGGCAGGAGGATTGCTGGAGCCCAGGAGCTAGAGACCAGCCTAGACAACATAGTAAGACCCCACTTCTCAAAAAAAAAAAAAAAAATTATCCGTGTGTGGTGGTGTGTGCCTGTGGTCTTCACTACTCGGGAGTCTGAGGTCAGTAAATCGCTTCAACCCAGGAGCGATGGTGATCGCGTCCCTACACTCCAGTCTGTGGACACTCTAGTACCTTGAGGATAATACAGCCTGATTACAGAAGCTTTACAGCAACTCTTGAAGTCAGGTATTATAAATCTTTCACCTTCATTCTTCATTTGTAAAGGCCTGTTGGCTATTCTAGGTCCTTTGAGTTACTGTAAGAAAGTTACAATTGGCTTGTGAACTCCACATCTATTGGGATCAGAGGAAAGCAGGAACAGGGTGGGTGCCAAGGAGGGGCAAGGGGCTGGGGCAGGGATGGATGTGGCCAGTGAGGACAGGAGGATACTTGTTGCGGGAATGTGGGGACATCCAAACAGTGGTTCTCATCATGCCGTGCAGGGTACTCGCCCCCTCCCTGCCCCTGCCCCCCACACACAACTTCCCACCCTCTCCCATGAGCACCTGCGCTAAGGGGCTGCATTTAGGCTCCGCCCACACTGGAATCACGCCCTCCTCCAGGCCCTCCTCCCCCTCCCAGAGCCCTGTCTGAGAGAGAGCCACAGCCCCAGGCTCAGTCCCAGGTCCTGTCACTGCTGTTGGGGGAGGGAGGATGAACAAACCCAGGAGACCTCACATCATCCCAGAGCAGAAATCCTGACACAAAAGGAATCTACCATGGGGGTTCAGCTGGGTCCAGGGCCTGAAAGTGACATCAATGTGGACCTTGCATCAAAGGAGATCGCACGTGGCAGCACTGGGGCAGAAGACCCTGGGAAGCATGTGCCCTCCAGAGCTACCCAGAGGCTGTTGGCTGTAAGTTCTATGTGGCCCCCACCTTGGACGGCCTGGTAAGCAGGTGACCCTTCAGCCAGGTCCTCAGGCAGGGCGGACCACCCTCTCGAGGCCCTGCCCAGACAGCCAGGGGGTCCCTTGTCCTCTCTTCAGTCCATCTTTCCAGCTGGGACCAGTTCAGCCCAAAGCCCCCGTGCCTCCGTTTTCCTGTGGGTTGAATGGGGAGAATGAGGTATTGAGGGCCTGGCTCAGACGGAGGGGTTTCCTGAGCACAGGGGAACATGTTTCCTCCGGCCTGTGAAGGGAGGGAGGGAGGGCTGACCTGGCTGGCCCTGGGAAGCACAGAGGAGCCTACTGGGGCCAGGGAAGACACTGAGAAGAGAAGGGAGGCCCATCCCTGCCTGCTTCTGTCTCAAGAAGGCTGATGCCATTTCCTCTGACGAAATCCTGTCTTCCTGCCCCCACGGCCCCTTAGCTGGAGGGGCCACCTCACCCTGGAGAGGGTGGGCAGAGCCTCCTACGGAGGGAGCCCTGTGGGCCACCAAAGCTCCCCGCTCCAGCGACCACCGCAGGCAAAGGCCAGCAGAAACCCGTTAGAGATGGGCCCAGGACTGTGTGCGGGGTGCCCACTGCAGCTCTGAGCCTTCACTTCCTTCTGTGTCCAAGGAAGCCTCTGGATCAGCCAAGGGCTCAGGTGTGTGGAGGGAATGACCTGAGGTGCTGTATGAAGGGACAGCCTCCTGTCCTGCACTCAGAAGTTGAGGCCCAGAGATTCTGCCCTTCAGCCAGGCCCAGACATCTGGGTAGAGGGGGCTCCAGTCCTGGAACTGTCACTGCAAGTCACATGGCCTGGGGCAGTGCTTCTCGGAGCCCTGTCCCCGCCTGCATAGGATGGGGAGATCAGAGGGGAGCCTGCAGATCCAGTCTCATGTCTAGGGGGTGAAGGGGTGGCCTCCAGAAGGACCAGTCTGTGTAGGGGACCATCAGCCCCCTCACCCCTTGAGCAAGGTCGTGGTCCCTGCACCAAGGGAAGAGGCCAGCTGGGCCCTGGTGGTGCCTGGGGACTGCATGGAAGTCCCTGCCGGGGAGGGAGAGGGACAGAGGACAAGCTGGGGACTCTGGTGCTTGGGCTGGGGTCTGAGCGCCTGTGACCTCCACCGGCTTCCTCCTCCTCCTCCCTGAGGACTGAATCTGGGACACAGAAGGGCAGAGAATCAGGCCTGCCTTGCCTCTCCCTGAAAGAGCCTGTGCTGGCCCTGGGCAGAGAGAAGGATGAGAAGTGAAGCTGAGTGAGGTGGGGCTGCAGGGATCCAGGTGGGAGGGGCCCAGCCAGCCAAGGTCAGGCCCGGCCCCTCAGCAGGAGGACAGGCACTGGGGCCCTTGGGCAGGGCTGACTTGACACTGACCACAAGGGAGGCCCTTTTGCAATAAGAGGAAAAAAACCAGATGGATAAAGGAAGTGCTGGTCACCCTGGAGGTGCACGGGTTTGAGGAAGGCTCCCGGCCCCCACAGCCCTCTGCGGAGCCTGAGCCCGGCTCCCCTTACTCACCTCAACCTCCAGGTGGCCCCACCACAGGGCCCCTCTCCTGCCTGGACAGCTCTGGTCTCCCCATCCCCTGGAGGAGAGCAAGGCCATGGGCCAGCTCCTGCTGCTGCCCCTGCTGCTGCTGCCCCTGCTGCTGCCACCAGCATTTCTGCAGCCTGGTGAGTGCCCAGGACCACCCAGATGTGGGCTCTGCCCAAACCACAGGAGGGGCCAACCCGAGACAAAGGTGGGACATCTTGGGGAGGGCCCAGGCTCCCACCACCAGGAAACAAGGCCGGGTCCCACAGGGGCAGGTGCCCCCATCGTCTCTCTCCCATGCCTGAAGAGTGGAAGACCCAGGCCAGAAGTCAGTCCAGCCACCTGTCACACGACTGCCTGTGGCTGAAGGTGCGGGAGGGTCTGGGGTCACCCTCTTTGTGTCTTGCGGTGGCTTCAAGGTCTCTCCCCCACTCTCTCCCTCCCACCTCTAGGTGGCTCCGCGGGATCCAGTCCAAACCGCCCTTATGGGGTCACTCAACCAAAACACCTCTCAGCCCCTGTGGGTGGCTCCGTGGAAATTCCCTTCTCCTTCTATCACCCCTGGGAGTTAGCCACAGCTCCCAACATGAAAATATCCTGGAGACGGGGCGAATTCCACGGGGAGTACTTCTACAGAACAAGGCCAGCTTTCATTCACAAGGATTACTCGAACCGGCTCTTTCTGAACTGGACAGAGGGTCAGGACCGCGGGCTCCTCAGGATCTGGAACCTGCGGAAGGAGGACCAGTCTGTGTATTTCTGCCGAGTCGAGCTGGACACACGATCAGGGAGGCAGAAGTGGCAGTCCATCGAGGGGACCAAACTCACCATCACCCAGGGTGAGTCCAGCTGCCCCGGCACCTGCTTTGCCCACCGCAGTGAGGCTTTTATGATCACTGGTGACGTCGTCCCTGGCACCTCAGACCCCACTTCTTCTGACGACCCCTAAGTTCTCTCTTTGGCCCCTAACACTTCCTCAGGCCTTTGCCACCTCTCCCCTTTTCTCTTCCCCTTGTCTCCACATCTGATCTGCTGTCCTCTCCAGATCCAGCCCCGCCCCCACTCCTCAGGCCTCAGCATCTGCCAGACCCTCTAATTATCCTTCATTCTTTCTCCAAACTGGGGATCCAGCCTGGCCTCTCTCCATGACCTCCAGGCAGATTTGATCTCTCCAGGGTGTGGCTCACCCGCTCTTTGTCATGTGTCTCTGCCTGGAGTCCCCGTTAGTGCCTCAGGGTGGGCCCCATATCTTGCATCTCTCACAGTCACGAGCTCATCCAGGAACCCCCAGCAGGTGCCCAGTGACTGGCCCTGGGAGCTCTGCAGTCCCTGGGTCAACCTGGGTTCCCATCTGCCTACTTCCTTCTCCCCCTCTGCTTCCCAGAAGTGTCCTTCAGCTCCTCCCTGACCTGTCTCACCTCCTCCCTCACCTGTCATACCCCTCTTCTCCTATATCCATCCTTTACCCTCACTTTCTCCCCAGCCCCTGCAGCCCCCACTCTCCCTGACAAGCCCCTGGGTTCTTCCAGCCGTTCCCTCTCTGTCCTCCACTCTGGTCTTGCTACTCTGTCCTTATCAACACTAAGGGACGTGTCTGCAGAAGCAAGAGCAGCAGCCCTCATTCACTGAGGCATCATGGCATGGCCCTGGCAAATTGCTTCATGTGCATTGCCCTAGTGAACCCTCACCAAGACTCCTCAATGGCAAGAGGAACTGCTATTCTCTTCAGTTTACAGATAGGGAAACTGAGGCTAACAGAGCCTATATAGCTGCCCAACGTCACACTAGTAGTGCAGATGGGATTTGGAAGGGATGGTGAGGGCGGGGCATAGTGGCTGATGCCTGTAATCCCAGCACTTTGGGAAGCCAAGGTGGGTGGATCACTTGAGGTCAGGAGTTCGAGACTAGCCTGGCCAACATGGCAAAACCCCGTCTCTACTAAACATACAAAAGTTAGCCAGGCATGGTGGCGCATGCCTGTAATCCTAGCTACTCAGGAGGCTGAGGCAGGAGTATCACTTGAACCTGGGAGGCGGAGGTTGAGGTGAGTTGAGATCGAGTCACTGCACACCAGCCTGGGTGACAAAGTGAGACTCTGTCTCAAACAAACAAACAAACACACACACACACACAATGACAGGGATGGTGAGCTGCAGAACTTTCTCACCTAACCTCTAGCTACAGGGCCTCGCCTATTGAGTTGACCATAGTGTTCGCCTTGACCTACTTTTGAACCTAGCGATGGGATGTGTTGCACTAATAGATCTTCTGTTTTATTCAGAAAGGGCATCAGGGAAATTTGAGCCTAGGTTTATCTGTCTCCAGATCAGTGGGGCGAGGGGAGTTTCTCCCAGGCCCAGGCAGGAAGGGGGTGCATTGTCTGTAGAAAATGTTTTAGGAAACTAATCTTTGGCCAGATGGGTTTATTTTTTCTAATCACTTGCACTGGCAACCCTAAACAATGCCAGGGATAAATTACTCTTCCCTGCAGGGACAGACACTCTCGCTGCCCGTGCCCTGGTAAACCACCACACCATCTTAACCACTGTGTTGGTTTTGGAGCAGATGGAGAGCGGCTCCATAATCCAAATGAAGCAAGACAGCCTTGAACTTTGATTTCCTACATATTTCCTTAAATGGCCTTTTCTGAGAGATTTGGGTTTTTCTCAGGCCTTCTCTTCCTCTTTCTTTAATTCCTGCTTGCTTTTCTCTCTTCTCTGCATAGGTCAGAGTTGTAGTTTTTTTCACTAATAAATTTTTTTTTTTTTTTTTTTTTTTTTCACCCAGGCTGGAATGCAGTGGCTGGATCTCAGCTCACTGCAAGCTCCACCTCCCGGGTTTACGCCATTCTCCTGCCTCAGCCTCCCAAGTAGCTGGGACTACAAGTGCCCGCCACCTCGCCTGGCTAGTTTTTTGTATTTTTTAGTAGAGACGGGGTTTCACTGTGTTAGCCAGGATGGTCTCGATCTCCTGAGCTCATGATCCGCCCATCTCGGCCTCCCAAAGTGCTGGGATTACAGGCTTGAGCCACCGCACCCGGCTATAAATTGTATTTTTAATTAATTCAATTAGTTGATATTCATGCTTATTATAAAAAAACAAAATACAGGAAAATAATAAAAAGAGAAAAATGTTTTTGTTTTTGTTTTGGTTTTTGTTTTTTTTGAGACAAAGTGTTGCTCTGTCACCCAGGCTGGAGTGCAATGGCACGATCTTGGCTCACTCCAACCTCCACCTCCCAGGTTCAAGCGATTCTCCCGCCTCAGCCTCCGAGTAGCTAGAATTACAGGCACCCGCCATCATGCCAGGCTAGTTTTTTTATTTTTGTAGAGACAGGGTTTCACTGTGTTAGCCAGGCTGCTCTTGAACTCCTGACCTCGGATGATCTGCCCGCCTTGGCTTCCCAAAGTGCTGGGATTACAGGCGTGAGTCACCTTGCCCTGCCTTTTTTTTTAGACAGGGTCTCGCTCTGTCACCCCGGGAGTATGATCATGGCTTACTGCAGTGTTGATCTCCCAGGCTCAAGTGATTCTCGTGCCTTAGCCTCCCAAATAGCTGGGACTACAGGCATGCACCACCACACCTGGCTAATTTTTGTATTTTTTTTTTGTAGTCATGGAATTTTGCTATGTTGCCCAGGCTGGTCTCAAACTCCTGAGCTCAAGTGATCCACCCACCTTGGCCTTCCAAAGTGCTGGGATATAGGCATGAGCCACTGTGTCTGGCAAAAAAAATCCAACTGAAGTACCATCATGCTAAGTAAGATACAACAAACTAAAGGAGTATTTGTAGCAGATATAAACTAAGTTTGTTGTTGGCTTATTAATGTTTTCTACGTAATTTTACTTTTGTAACCAAACCTAATTGTGTTCTTTGTCACTTTTCTGTTTTATTTCTAAGCACAAAAATCCCAATTTCCACTAAAAGTTGAAAATATTGGCCAGACACAATGGCTCACGCCTGTAATCCCAGCAGTTTGGGAGGCTGAGGTGGTGGATCACCTGAGGTCAGGAATTCGAAACCAGCCTGGCCAACATGGTGAAACCCCGTCTCTACTAAAAATACAAAAATTAGTCTGGTGTGGTGGTGCATGCCTGCAGTCCCAGCTACTCAGGAGGCTGAGGCAGGAGAATTGCTTGAACCTGGGAGCCGGAGGAGGTTTCAGTGAGCCAAGATCCCACTACTGCACTCCAGCCTGAGTGACAGAGCAAGACTCTGTCTCAAAAAAAAAAAAAAAAAAAAAAAAAAAAATTATATTTAAATTCTTAATTAAAAAAAAATTGTATGTAGTGAGAATTTATTTTGATATATGGCATAAACAACTAAATTGATCTTTATATGAAGTAATTAATCAGTTGTCCCAACCCCATTTACTGCATTTTTATCTGCTTCTCTATTGATACATTAGGCCTGGTTTTAAAATTATTTTTATAGAAGAGCATCTGTTTCTGGTCAGTCAATTCTGTTTCACTGATCTGTCTTTTCTTACATCAGCACACAGGTTTAGTGATTGTAGCTTTACCACGTTTCAATGCCTAAGACGATTTCCATCTCAAACATATTACTCCTTCCTCAAAAACTTTTTTAGGCTGGGCGCAGTGGCTTCATGCCTGTAATCGCAGCACTTTAGGAGGCTGAGGCACGAAGATTACTTGAGCCCAAGAGTTTGAGACTTAACATGGGCAACATAGTGAGACCCCATCTCTACCAAAAAAAAAAAAAATTAGCCAGTTGTGGTAGTGCAAACCTATGGTCCCAGCTACTCAGGAGGCTGAGACAGGAGCATTGCTTGAGGCCAGGAGGTTGGGCCTGCAATGAGCTGTGATTTCACAACTGCACTCCAGCCTGAGTGACAGAGCAAGACCCTGTCTTAAAAAACAAAGCAAAACAAAAAATATTTTTCTGTTGTTGCCTGCCTGTTCCTTCCCCACTGTTAGAATAACTTTATCCAGTTTAGGGGAAAAAAACAAAAACAAAAAACACAACACTCTTTTAAGTCACAGTTGCATTAAACCTATAATGCAATTGACAGAAACCAAAATCAGGCTCATACACAATCTTCTCACCCAGGAACAAGGTCCTATTTTATATCCCTCAGTAAACCTTGGTAGTGTTCTGCCTAAGAGCATTTAAATGTCTCATAAGATTGTTTAACTGTCTGTAGTGAGCCGAGATCACGCCACTGCACTCCAGCCTGGGTGACAGCCAGATCCTGTCTCGGGAAAAAAAAAGATTTTTTTACCCTCTATATTTCCTTTTGTTATTAATATACAAGATTACTTTTTGAATCCTTAATAATTGTTATTGTAAAAGTAATGCATAGGTGGCCGGGCACCCAGTGGCTTATACCTGTAAACTCAGTACTTTGGGAGGCTGAGGTGGGCAGATCACAAGGTCAGGAGATCGAGACCATCCTGGCTAACACGGTGAAACCCTGTCTCTGCTAAAAGTACAAAAAAATTAGCTGGGTGTGGTGGCAAGTGCCTGTAGTCCCAGCTACTCAGGAGGCTGAGGCAGAAGAATCACTTGAACTGGGAGACGGAGGTTGCAGTGAACGAAATTGCACCACTGTACTCCAGCTTGGGCAACAGACGGAGACTCTGTCTCAAAAAAAAAAAAAAAGCATAAAATCTGGCCAAGACGGTGGGTTATATGCATGTTTACCATCACCCCCTCCCAGAATCTACTAAAATAATAGCAAAGGGAATTTTTTAAGAAAGAAATCCTCAAGAACAAGAAATATATGAACTGGATGTACAAAAGCAAATTTTGAGAAGCTGGAAACAGACTAATGGAATTGGTTTAGGGCTAAACCCTAAGCCAGTGTTGGGAAACCCAG